TTTTCTGGATAGCAGTGCCATGACTTACCACTCCTTGATCAAGAAAAATTGTGAAATGGCCCTCTGCTGTTTGCACATGCAGCAGCATCCCAGATGGCACCCGGGGGCGCACCTCCATCACCAGCTCAAACCTCAACCCGAGGTCAAAAGTCTCATCTGAGAGGAGCAGGAGCAAGAGGAAGTGAATTCTGGGTACCTTATCCATTTAGGGCAGGGGTGGGAAACCTTTTTCCTCTCAAGGGCCATTTACATTTTTTCAACATCCTCCGAGGGCCGTACAAATTATTGACCTCTGCTTAAAAATACTAAAATCACAGTCCATTCATTTGGCCTTTCTCGCTTTCTTCGCTCCCACGCTCACTCGCACTTTGGCTGTGAGCTGCGGGAGCCAGATAAGCCAACATCCCCCACTTTCATCACTTACAGCACCCATCGTACAGGGCAAATGAAAAGTGTAACCGGGGTGAAAAGGGTGTTACCTTTACTTAATTATGAATGTTGTTACATCAAGGCCGAAAATTAGGATGAGCACCAACGGTCAAAAAGGTTTTTCCCCCTCCCAGAGCTGCCAGCGCAGCGCCCCCCCAGATCTGGCGCCTATGTCGCCTATGCCAAAAACCGGCCCTGTGCATATGGGATGGTGAAAGGCTAGAGGGGCTTTGAGTTTTCCAGAAGGAAATCTAATGAGCCCTGTAATATACCAGATGTTCAGTTTGAAAACAGATCCTGCCCAATGTACATGGTGTTTCCACAAAAAACAACCCTGTGCAAACTTTACATTTATGCAATGCGACAACTAAGATGTCTTTTGTATTACATTTTTTAAAAGTACTATAAATTTACCAAGCAGGACGTATCCTCCTTCCTCTGAGAAGAACGTTCCCGCCTCAGAAAGTCCCTCGAAGCATGGGGTGACCCCAAAAGTCTCTGTCACCGAGGACAGCCACTGGCCATCGAGCTGCAGGTTCTTCAGACAGCCGGTGAAGCTGTATGCAGAGTTTCTCTGAAGGGAAACACATGGGGACCAATTTCAGACTGGTTGGTCTATAAACTCATAGGGAGGGCCCTCGTGTATAGTAGCTCAGTTGGTAGAGCTGACGTCACATTTACTGGGGCTCGGTCCCCAAGCGGAGCCCCCGGGTTCGAATCCAGCCCGGGAAGATGTGCCGCCTGTCATCCCCCCTGTCTCCCCCTTTCATAGCTGTCACTCAAATAGAGGCCCTGGTTACCCAAAAGTCGGTTTCTCTTACAAATAAATAGTTGAATCATTAGGAAATAAAACACATCCCAAGGGTTGTACCCAATACAGTAATCTATGACAATTTCCAGAGGTGGCTAAAGTAAACTAACTAAGATGGATATGGTATGTAACAATACTCAATCAGACATGACTCTTATTTATTTATGCTACTGTTGCTACATTTAAGCAATTACAAGTAAGTGTCAATTGCTACTGTTTAGCATCAGCTAAAGAGGCTAGTGTATGGGCATAGATATGTCTCATAATTATTTGTGTGAACATAAAAATAATTTGTGTGTAAATATGTGATTTGTAAATGTAAAACACCATCCACAAATGCATTTAAAAGATTTGCAAACTCACAAATAAATTAGCAAATATAAAACGGATCTGCAAATACGCAAAATATTTTTACAAATAAAAAAAAGATCTTTGAAGATCTCTTTAACATTTACAACTTTCGATCAGGCATTTGTGAATCCATTTTGTATTTGTCGACCAAAAATGCGCTTGTGGATCTCAAATCTCTGCTTGTGGATCGTCTTTTTACACACACAGAGTTTTGAGACAAACTTTCCGCCGGTCTCGGCTAAAATCTACTCGCGTCACTCGGTTATTTTCGGAAAACACGTGATGGCCGGCTGATGACGACATTTCCGCATGGTTTTCAAAGTAAGAGCATGATGTTTTTGTATCATAATGAACAGCGGAACGTTAGATGCATTCTTCATCACCATCATCATGATGTTATAGTGATACAGTTAGTTTGTGTTAGTTTATTTGTTCAATACAGCATATATCGAGCACATTCGTATGCATTTATGTTGAAGTAGGCTACAGGCTACGCCACGTTCGGGTCTCGGGGGGAGCAGCTGGCAGCGAAGCAGCCCAGAGATAACTCTTTCTTCATTGTTTTTTGTGTATTCAGTCAAGCGGGTCAAAGTTACAAAGCACTTCACATCTTATTAACCGGCCTAGTTTTACCTTACCAGTGCAGATAAGGTAATCTGTAAAAAAGCACCGTATTTAGGTCAGCCTTCATAGTAAGGCTACATTAAATGTTATAATATTCATCGTGTCCTTTCTACTGTATATGCATATACATCACAGTATACGCCTATCACAGTGCTCTGAGATTTGTTACTAACTGTAAAGTACTTACTCATCACTGTACCCTGTATGCCAAGGCAGGTCTGCCTTCACTTACTGTTCGGAGGCTCAGTCATTGGTACATGTTCATCTACAAAGCCATGCTGGGTAAACTACCTTCTTATATCTGCTCTTTGATCTCACAGAGAGTGGCAAGTAGCTATTGCCTGAGATCACAGGATGTGTTTTTATTACATGTGCCAAGTGCTAGGACTGTTTTAGGTGCTAAAGCTTTTATGTGCGCTGCTCCTCTGGCTTGGAACACTATGCAAAAAACATTGAAACTGAGCATTTTGATTCCCTTGCATCGTTTTAAAGCACGGCTGGATGAAATATTATTGGATACCTGTAAATGTAAATAGGTTGCTAATGTATACCCCTGTAATTATGTTGTGATGTCCTTTTGTTTTCTGTTTGTTTTTATATGTGTAACTAAATGTGCCGCAGGTCTCCCTTGTAAAAGAGATCGTTGATCTCAATGGGATTTTTTAACCTGGATAAATAAAGGCTACAAACAAACAAACATATATTCCTGTCTATTGCTATTTCTATCTATCTATCTGTCTAACCATCTGTCTATCTATATATCTATCTATCTATCTATCTATCTATCTATCTATCTATCTATCTATCTATCTATCTATCTATCTATCTATCTATCTATCTATCTATCTATCTATCTATCTATCTATCCATCTGTCTATCTATCCATCTGTCTATCTATCTGTCTATCTATCCATCTGTCTATTTATCTATCCGTCCGTCCGTCCGGCTGTCTGTCTGTCTGACTCTCTGTCTGTCTCTCTGTCTGTCTGTCTGTCTGTCTCGATATATGCTATATTGAACCAATAAACTAACACAAACTAACTGTATCACTATAACATGATGATGGTGATAAATAATGCATCTAACGTTCCGCTGTTCATTAAAAAAACAGCGCATTAAACAAACCATCATGCTCTTACTTTGAAAATCATGCGGAAATGTCTTCATCAGCAGGCCATCACGTGGTTTCCGAAAATAACCGAGTGACACGAGTAGATTTTAGCCGAGACCGGCGGAAAGTTTGTCTCAAAACTCTGTGTAAAAAGACGATCCACAAGCAGAAATGAGAGATCCACAAGCGCATTTTTGGTCGACAAATACAAAATGGATTCACAAATGCCTGATCGAAAGTTGTAAATGTTAAAGAGATGTTCAGAGCTTCCAGCAGCCTGAGCTGAGCACAGCTGGATGTCTGGATGTCTGCCGGTATAACCATATATGTCCGGTAGACACAATGGGTCATAAATTACAGAAACTTGTAAAAGGTTAGCCTTTTTATTCGGTGCTACAGACCTTGATAGAATTTTCATGCTACAAATGACCCACGCTGTGTTCATGGTTTAATCTCTTCAACAAAAACTTGCATCCATACCTGAATATTCTTTTGGGCTCTCCCAGGAGGAACCCCTCCCACAAACAGGGGACTGCTGACATGCCAGGAGACATTGCTTCCCTGAGCTCTGTCCTCCAGCACTGTGAGCCCATCAATAATCAACCGGCCCATACTCCCATCACGGATAAAAACCACCTGCAACAGGAGAAGAGAGGAGGTCGTCAGCTTCATGGCTAAACATGCATCCACTCACTTTTGACGTCACACTTACATTGTGCCATGCACCGTCATTGTATTTCTCCTCGCTCCTGATTTTGACTCTTTGCTCTTCTACATTGAATGTGTATACGAGCTTCCCGTGGGCCAGGAACAGGGCCATGAAGTTGTCCTCTTGGACGTCAGATACATAAAAGATGAGGCCAAACGATGAGTTGGTCTTCAGGGACAAGGAGAAGTGGGACCTGTGAGAAGATAGTCGCATTAAGTACTGTGTTCAGAAAGAAAGAGCTTTGAACACTTGTGACCCTGAGGTAGGTTCTGTTCCTTAAACACCTTTCAGAGAGGGACTCCGGGAGGTTTGTGAGGTGCTGCCTGCTGTTGGCGATGCCGCCGTAGTGGAAGGCTTGGCGGGTTGCCCTTGGACTTGAAGAGAGATAGCAGGTCTCCGTGCTGAGCTCGGACGGCTCCTGCTCATCACTCCTCAGTTCCATCAGGCCCAGGGGGAGGCTGGACTCCCTGCTGACCTATGAGAGGGTTTATTGAATGTCAGGATGACACAGATCATAGCAACAAAATGAAGAATGACAGTTGTCCAGCACTCTTCGGTCCTACCTTCTGTGACATGCTCTGTCTGGCTCTAGAACTATGTTCCCTGTGCCTGGACAGCAGAGCAGCAGGGGGCCGCTGGACGGGGCAGTCCTGCAGGGATGTCTGCACCTTCTCTGTGTACCGCTGGAAGTCCTCAGGCTCTATATCCCGGTCCTGTCTACAGAAATACAGGAACAAGAAGGACAGATGAAGGAGCTGTAGGATGTCTCAACACACCCGCTCGTCTCCATAGCAACAACTTCTCAGCTCACAGCTTTATTTGTTAGTCTCTTCCAGATGTGGCAATAGTACTCAGATCTTGTACTTAAGTAAAAGTAGAAGTACTCAGATATTGTAGTTGAGTAAAAGTAGAAGTACCAGAGTGTAGGAATACTCTGTTACAGTAAAAGTCCTGCATTTAAAATCTTACTCAAGTAAAAGTAGAAAAGTATTATCATCTAAATATACTTAAAGAACCAACAGTAAAAGTAGTCATTGTGCAGATTGGTCCATTTCAGAATAATATATATGATATGTTTTATAATGATTGATCATGAAAGTGTTCTCAAAGCTGGTAAAGGTGCAGCTAGTTTGAATGACTTTGTATACTGCAGGGTAGCTTGTGAATTTACTCCAGGTGGAACTAAAGTCTGATTTAACACTTGATTATATTTACCATCATTCATCCACATCTGTAAAGTAACTAAAGGTATTAAATACATGTAGTGGAGGAAAAGTACACCATTTACCTCTGAATTGTATAGGGGTAAAAGTATAGAGTACCAAGACATTAGGGGCGTTCACACCAAGTTCTTTTCCCACTATAGGCGCTTTCACACCGCAGTACTTTTCCCACAAAGGTTCATCAGAACTCTTTAGTTCTCATGAACTAAGTACAGATCGCGTTCACACCGGAATAAGTCCCTGGGGGAGGATTAGGCAAATGAGCCGCTGACGTCACTTCTTCTTCTTCTGCTTTGGGTTTACTGGCAGGCCGCAAACAACTTCACGGCGTATACTGCCACCCGAAGTCCCCGGAGTTGGGGACTGGCTTCAGTAGAAGCTGCTGGGACTCCCAGCAGCTTCTACTGAAGCCTTCCGAGTAAATCGCCAGAACGCCCACACCTCCTCATCTCCACCGCTCCCATGTTTTCTTTTGTGTTGTCATAAGTTAGTCTCTCTGCGTTTCTGCGCTGGGCTAATGCTAATGCTAATAATGCTAATGCGAGGATAATAAAATGGCGGCTTCACAAAACCTTTTGGGAGTTCTACGGGGCGTGGTTTGCATTCCGGAGGCGGCTGGCTTCCCTTGCCTCACAATACAATCAAATCGCATCAACTTAGTGGTGCAGTGACGCGTCCTAAAACCGCGTTCCCTCGACAAAAAAGCAATGGGATTTCTCCATAGGATTTTGGAAAAGAGCTGGAAATAAGATCTGTGGAAAACGAACCTGTTAGATAAATGCACGTTTTGTTCAGCCGGATAATATCCACATGTCTACCCTACTTTTATGAATCATAAATCTAATCGATAGATAGATAGATAGCGTCACTGCACCACTCTCACTGCCGTTAGAAAGTAGCAAGCAACTGAAGCAAGTGCAATTATGGAGGGTGGAGATTTGGAGTATTTAATCAAAAATAATTGTACTAAACTTCCGCTACAGCAGCAACTAAAATTAAATCTGATGACAGGCCAATGCCCAAACTGGAGCTGTGTACAGCGAGGAAAAAAGGAGCGAATCGGACGTAAAACGTTAAAGGTCTTCTGATTTAGTTTGTGAATGAATGCTTATTAGAGTTTCGGCTGGAGAGTGCGTGTGGACCTGTCGGTTAGAAAGCAGGCGTGTGTAAGTCCTGCATCTGTATGATACAAATGTGTGTAAAATGATACCGGGCGCTGTAATCACTAGTGATGGCAGTTTGACACTGAAGCTTCCATACGTGCTTCAAACCCTGGACTTCCTATTCCATAGAAGCAGTGCTTCGAAGCTTGCTTCAAATCACGTGACATATGACGTCAGAAACAGCAACTGCTTCAAATCACGTGACATGTGACGTCCGAAGCACCAACTGCTTCATTTCCTGAATGAATCACTTGACTGGTTCGCGGTCCAATCACGCGATTCAATGCACTGCCTCGTCTCTATTCTGACAGGTGACAGGTTGAAACAGTTTAGAATTTGAGTGCTTCAACACTTTATAACCGCTCTAAACAATGTGCAATGTGTGGGTTGTTGTCGTAGTTTGCGTTGTTGCTGTTGAGTTGGTGTTGGTATTGCATTTGAATTGGATCATTATAGAGCAAGCCAGGAAGAAAGATAGGTCGTTCTGGCTCGGGAAACACTTCGAAATGTGGAGAAGTTGTGAACAAAAAGACAATGAGTAATATAGAAACAGCACAATAGTTTAAGGAATAGATAGCCCAGTGGATAGAGCCGGCGGCCCGAATGCGGCGATTTCCTCCGCGCAACTGGTTCAAAGCCTGGAACGGATGAACTTTTAATCATTGCTTTTCAACTTTAATACTTTATTAACTGATAAAAGGCCCTCTCCGCCCAAACATTTTTCCAGCACTCTCTAGTCTCTTCTCAATAACCCAATACACACAATTATCAATCTTTAATTGCAAATAGAACATGAGATTCAGTCTTAGTGTGTGTGTGCATCGAATATTTTTCAAGGCAAAGATACGTTAAACCCACTGCAGCCTTGCACTTCACCAGGAGAGGTCGCTGTAACTGAAGCTTCGGGAAATGAACCTATTTCCGACACAATTGGGACTCCCAGCGTGGTTTGCATTCCGCCCAGCCAATCAGACATAGGAACCTTTTTCTCCCACGAAAGTCCCTGCTCTCTAGCAGGGACGGAAAAGGGGGTAAAAATGGTTCTGATGAACTAATTTAGTTCAGGGGGCTTTTTGGTAAATATATCTGAGTTCTGATGAACTATTGTGGGAAAAGTACTCCGGTGTGAACGCGCCAATTGAAATACTCAAATACAAATACCTCAACATTTTACAGCAGGCTACTTGAGTAAATGTACTTAGTTGCTTAACACCACTGGTCTCTTCCTCACATAACAGGAGAGGAGGTTGAAGCTACAGAGATATGAAGGGGCAGCGGGCCCTGGGCGGTCCTGTGGGGACCCTCGGGGGGGTTACCTGTTGATGTAGGCGTAGCTGATGCAGCCGGTGAAGTTCTTGAAGCTGCTGCTGGGAGAGCCTCCGTAGTAGAAGGTCTGTACAGCAGAACCTGAGGAGGCTTTCGGGGCAGATGATGGACGTTTCTTCTCCTGCTTGTCTTTGTCGTCCACCAACAGTGAATACCTGGTGAACAGTTTAACCAGGCGCTCATAAATTATCTTTAGCCACAGTGCTCTTCTATAACTGCCTACCCACTAAACACCACCCTACGTGTCCTTTTTGGCTGCCTGTCTGCATTATATTTCAAATATGTCTCTTCGCCTTTTTTGTCATGCTGGTTAACTGTGATGCTGATAAAGCCACATATATATTTGTTTGTCTGGAAGTTGTTGGTTTTTATCAGTAAACTGAAATTGTACAGAAGGTCTGTAACTCTATTAGGAGGTTTATTATTAGTTACTAGTCCACACATATCAATCTTGTTATTTGCAATCAGGAGATTGGTGGTTTAATACCTGGCAGCTACGCAGTGTCCATGGGCAAGATACTAAAAAAGGTGCTTTATATAAAAAAACTAAAACTTCACATGGAGGCTTGTATGGGTTAAGCAATCAAATAATCTTGAAATTGAAACAAATTGTTCTTTCTAAGAGGAGTCTGACGTCATACAGTTGAGAGGAAACTGTATGAAGAGCTGGCTAAAATCAAAACCCAACATCATTTTGATACATAAGACAGCTGTTGGCAGCTGTGATGTCGGCATACTTACTTCTGACTGTTTACTGAGGCCACTAAGAAGTGTGTCCTTCCATCATTGTATTGTTTCTTGTGTGATTTAACCCGCGTGCCTCTGCAGGTCAGCACCACGGCTCCATTCTCCAGGGATATGCTGAACTCTTCTGACTGAAGTAGGAGAGAATATTGTAAAAGCTAGAACTTAGCAGCACAATTACAACTTGTTATAAACTCCTCCAAGGAAGTATCTTGATCTGTCTTTTATGACAAAATGATACTTCTGTTTATCCTAGTTTTCCAATCCAACCATTTGAAATTACACAAAGTGACTTTCCTATGGTGTGTAAAGACAAAGATGAATGTATACCCCTTCATTCGTGTAGAACAGGAGTCCGGCCGGCTGCAGTGTTCTGAAATTCAGTCCTCCCTCAAAGTTGTCGAAGGGCGAGATCTTGGCTGTTGATCCCAGGTAGCTCTCACCAGTGAAATAGGCTTTACGGGACATCTGTCACAAGAACAACAAATATCACTTTCAGCACCTGGTACCTTTCACCCTCCGTTCAGCTTACAGTTCAGTAATAAGTAATAAGACTATGAGTAGACTCACATGAAAGCTGTTGAACTATATATCAATTATTTTCTCTTGATTAACGAACAAACGATAACGATAATACTTTAATGGTCAGATCAAGTCTGAAATTTGACTTGCATCTCAGCAGCTCCATTTGTAACATCAACATGGACAAATAACAAGACACAATACATGAAAAAAAAAATCACTGACAGAAAAAATGCTCAAAGATTGAGATGGATTGTTTGTTTTACTCATTGTGAGATCCATCACCCACAGTGTATCGGTTCCACAGGCACACATGCAGAGCAGACAGAGTGTGAAAAGGTGGAGCAGCACTCACAAAGGACTCCTCGGGGCAGCCACTGCTGATGCCAATGGTGCCAGGCTCCTCCAGCAGATTGAAGTCTTTTTTCTGGAACTGGAAGCCTTTCACACAGCCTTTCAGACCCAGGACAGCAGACAGCTCCGGCCTGTGGTCATACACTTCCTGTCAGCATCTTTAGGGAAATTCTCAGCTGCACTAGACAATGTGTAATATAATTGTTGCTGCCAAATTTCAAAGGGGGGGTTTCTCATATTTAGACGCCAACTCCCACATTTTTATATAGTCACCATAAGGATATCTTTTGACAAACTGAAATGTAAAAACTGTAAGTGGAATCCAAACGTTTTTACAATAAACTGTATAGACATTTTCTCCTCGGAACAGGTCTGCAACCAACCAGCTGTCTCATGCAGATAAGATGGGCTGGTGCCACTTGGAGGGACTTTTTTCTACATGGAAAACAGACCTCAGTTGTATTGAACAGTGTTCCATGTTTAATATGTTTTGTAAGTATTTTTAACTCACCTGGATTTTAAAATGCTTGAGGGAGCCCCACCTATGTAGATATCGGAGAAAGGCAGTGTGGTTTTTGGATTCTCCAAAGATTTAACATGGCTCTTGTCCACCAGCAGGATAACCTTCTTTGACTGATGGTAGATTACTGACACCTGTGCAAACGGCAACGCATAATTCACTTACAAGTTCACGTTGACTTGTGTTCAAATTGTCTAACTAGCCAAATGAGAAGAGGGAATCTACCTCATGGTATCGTGCATCATTTATTTGGAGCTTTGGTATTTTATCCTCTAAAAGTTGAGGCCCTTTGCTGAACCCAAAGTCATACATCAGGCGCAGGAAGCCATTCTTTAACTCTAAAAGGAAGAAATTATCCTGGAAAGAAAGATTTTTTAAAACATTACAAAACTGAAAAAGGAAGAATTAAGTCAGCGTGTGAAAACAATGTTACTAGTGAAAGAAAAATCTAAATTAAGTACAAATTGTTTTAAAATAAATCAAAGTTCCTTTGTGTAACATTAAAGCCAGTCTCACCCCCTGGACCATAAGGAGAAGGACGCCATCGTTTGCCACAGTTCGCACTGCTATATCAAATCTGGTGACCACACCAAACCGGCCCCTCCTCTCAATATTATTGATGAGTGCGTAGCCCGTTCCATCAAACAGGTAGCTGGCAATGCGACTCTGGGAAAATGCCAACTTGTACCTGAGAGCAGAATGAGAAATATTATTTGATATAATAAAATGAACATTATATGTGATAAATTCAGAATGTCCCAGATCTCCTGGGGGCCCCGAAAGTCCCGGCATTTTTTTCTGTATGCTTCCAATTGGTTTTGTTATTTTAATCAACAGATTCTTTGTTAGGGAATTTCAACCAATCAAGTACATTATTAACTAAGCAGCTAAATCTAGTTATAAACCTTTATTAGTTTAGTTCTTATTGTACTCGCATTGTGAAAATAAATATAGTGTATTTAATTACATCCAATAAATCTGACTGAATTAGCGGGGTAGGTGAGGATGAGTCAGGGCCCACAGCACATGTCTGCCCCGGGGCCCTGTAACTGGTAAATCATGCAAATGTGTACTGTACCTGGGGCACGGTGTTGATGTAATCAAGTCCATTCTGTGAGTGTCTTTGAAATTGTAAAGACTGATCACGTCATTGTTCAGCGAACCCAACTCGATGCAGCCCACAAAAGGAGCAAGACTCAGAAGAGGTGGGAGCTGGTCAAACCAAAAAACATCTAATTTTATTTCGGAAAAAGCATTGAGTTAATGATTCACTTGTAATGATGGACTCTTGTGAAAGGCCTTACCCTGATATCCGATGGGACGCCACCTACAAAGAACACAATATCCTTGGGGTCGATGTCGAACAGTGAGTCAGCGCCCGGAGCTTCTCCTTTCTGGATGAACTTCTGCTCATCTGTGGAGCTCTGGCTGGGGATGGTCAGAAAGACTTTTCCATGTCTGCCCAGCCTGCAAGCAAAGAGCACCAAGGAGCATGAGAGACGAGCTCATGATTTATGGAAGTATACCATAGACCTTTTTATAGCTTTGGTAAAAGCATTGAACATTGAAATTACAAATTCGTTGAAATCATAATTGTGTTACTGTGGCAACTTTAACAAATCTGTTGTACGAGAGATAACAACCTAAAGTGTACTCCTAAAGTGTATTACCTCTCTACTTTGATGTAGTTGAAGACTGCGGGCCACTGGCTCACAGGCTTTGAACTCAGTGGAATCTCAACATCTTCTCCCCCCAGGTTGTACACGTACACCAGGTTGTCATTCTTGATAGCCAGTCCCATGTAGTCTTTCTTACCCTGTGAGCAAAACAGCAGAACATCCTCATGGTGAGTTCAAATCCTGTTTCCCAATCATGGCCTTAGTATTTCATCATTTTACAACAGCTGCATGAGTTTCCTACTGAGAAATGACCTGATTTGTTATGAATGTTTTATGATCTTTAACCCTGAAATATAGTGGTTTGAAAAACATAAACATCACTCATTTCAGATTAGATATAGTGCTCATGCTGAGGCTATTGTTCCACACTGCCAGGGACAGAAACACTGCATAGATGCCAGTGGCAGTGAAATCACCAAGGTGAAGTGTTCAGGAGAACAGAGAGGCCTGACATTGCTTTCTGTGTCCCGGTGAGCGGGGGCTAACACTGTCTATGTAAATTAGGTCTAACTTTGACGCCACACACATGCACTATTGTCACTACCGTCTGTTGGAGACCTTTTGAAAGGGCAGCTGTGCGTTTTCAAAGCCTGTCATTCCTGCCACTGTGATCATAACATATAAATGAACATAACTATTCATGTCCACAAGTGGCCCCCTGCTTTTATCTTCGCCCTGATCCACTTGTTTAGTGTTGTCAGCTGACGGTACATGCCAGGTTGTTCCCCACAAGTAATCAGAGGTCGGAGAAGTATTCAGATCATGTACTTGAGTACAAGTAGAAGTACCAGAGTGTAGGAATACTCTGTAACAACTTGTTAGTTATAAGTAACTAAGTACATTTACTCAAGTATTCGAGTACAATTCAGAGGTAAATCCTGTACTTTTACTCCACTACATGTATTTAATCCCTTTAGTTACTTCACAGATGTGGATGAATGATGTGAAATATAATCAAGTGTTAAATCAGACTTTAGTTCCACCTGGAGTAAATCCACAAGCTACCCTGCAGTATACAAAGTCATTCAAACTAGCTGCACCTTTACCAGCTTTGAGAACACTTTCATGATCAATCATTATAAAACATATCATACATATTATTCTGAAATGGACCAATCTGCACAATGACTACTTTTACTGTTGCTACTTTCACTATATTTTGATGCTTATACTACTTTTACTTGAGAAACATTTTGATTGCAGGACTTTCACTTGTAAGTTGTTATAATGGCTCCCATCTGTATCCACTAAGCATTCCGTCTGGTAGGCTTTAGTTATATAGTAACTGATTAGCCTACCCCACATGGAAAAGCAACAAACTTATTTTGTGTTCCTCACATTTCTGTCTCCCAGGTATAAGATGAAGCGGTCCTCAATGGGATCCTTGTCAGGGTCCACTCTCATGAACAAACTGATGGACGTCACTGTCTTCAGGTCTTCCAGGTTGCTGTGAGGATGGACCTCCACTGAAGACTGACCGTTAAACTTCATGGACACTTGCACCTAATGAAAACAACCAGAAAGGGTCATGGTGAGATACATTTGAGGAGTTGTTTTTGTAGCAAACATTGTAAATGTAAAGGTGATTCATTCAATATCCTAAAGAGGAAAACTCCCTGTTAGCTATAAGCATCTGACTATTTGGTAAGAGACCTGGATTTTAATGAGGTAATGGTTTATTAATGAATAGTTCAAAGGTTTCAGCCTCTGTGATCCATGATGGTGATCAGTTTGTAATGTGATGGAACGGGAAATGCATCGCCGTGTTTTTCTAAAAAGGTAGGCTCACACTTGACTTCTTACCTGCTAGAGCTAACTTTGTGTAGTTCCATTAGCTTAAACTTAAACTGACAGATGCTGTAGTATGGAATCAAAAAAGCTTTTGGAAATGTGAGGTTGATGGCTCAGTAATTTTACTGTTTTTTTAGAAGGTTGCTACATTTACAAATGGTTACAATGTCTATATAAGTTCTCACAAGAATGTGGCAACGTGGTCTGTGTGTGCATCTGTTGTAACTTGTTTTATTTAAGGCAGTAAAACATTTGTTTATTTGATTCTTGATAGAAGTTAAAAGGTACAACGTTTCACAGGAAAAGCTTTTATTTTGAAGTGCAAGTATGTGTCCTCCTCTGACACCTTTCTGTTGTTATGAAAATTGAATACGAGCATGTCGAGTGCATTTCCTCTGTCTTCCACCGTTCTTGTTGGAAACTGTTTAATGAATATAAAGTAAAAGTTCAGTTTGGATAAGACTGTGCTTGGTTCTTCAAACGAAGCTTCTATTACACAACAGCATCCTCAATTTTAAGTACAAAAGTTCTAAAGCTTTAGCGCAGGGCTATTCAATTAGAAATTCAGTTGGGCCAGATTTTATAACTAGAAAATTCAGCTGCCTGTAAAAAGCAGGTAATGACACATTTTAAACTAACACATATTACTGCGATGAAAAACATGCAATTTTTATTCATTGTTCATCTAACAAAAGCACGTCAAAAAGTGCATAAAAACACAACAAATTAGCATTAATTTAACAGAATCTGAGGCATCTCAAAGTGCATAAAAAACTAAAAGTGCACAGTTGTAGCATTTGTTTGCTTTAGAAGTAAAATATTCAGGTTCTTTTTTGAACCAGTCACATCACAAAGTGCATTTAACTGAATACAATAATAGCAGTCAAACCCTTCAGTGCACAAACCCATAACAAGGGATAAGGGTAACTAACATATGAATGAATGCTACAATCAGGGCCGTCCCTGGCCAACTTGAGGCCCCACGCAAAGTTAGATGATGAGGCCCTCTGTTTCGCGAGCGTCGACGGGGGGGATGGGTGCTACTGTAGCCTCGCTGTAACCGTGCCGCGCCACACTAATTGCGCCGCATAAACGCATAGGTGCGCCGCATTTGCGGCTCCCTCCGCAAGATGAGGCCCCCTCCGCAAGATGAGGCCCCCTCCGCAAGATGAGGCCCCCTCCGCAAGATGAGGCCCCCTCCGCAAGATGAGGCCCCCTCTGCGAGGTGAGGCCCCACGCAGTCTGCGTGATCTTCCTGTAGGGAGGGACGGCCCTGACTACACTACACGTCTACTATAGTAAACTAGGTGCTTACTATCACCTCATTTGTGATTTGTCTTCGCTGACTTTCTCAATGGGAGAAGTGACATTTTTTGTTTTGAACAAGAGCAGTGATTTGTGGCTCATAGGATGTCAATGCAATCCTAAGACATTGGTGAAGAGTGCTGTCAGTCAGGGAGCAGCGAGTGCTACTTTTTATTGAGTTCATGTGTGAAAAGCTTGACTCACATGTGTATGTTGATCCAAACATACTGAGCACACAGATCGCTACTTTCTGAACGTTAGGGAACTGCTGTTTGTTGACGTCACTCCAAAACCTTGCTGGCCCGCTAGTGCGCTGCTCTTGTGCCATGGTTACGGATGACTGCATGTCAATAAGTTCCAGTGTAAATTTCCCCTCTTCGATGGAGGGGACCACTTCCTTTGCTCTGGTGGATACGTCCCCCTCTATTGCAACAGTGAAGGGGTCTCTGGCAAAGCCCATCACCTCTGTGGGCAGAGCAAGTCCATCCAATCGACCGGCAAAGTTCTCTTTCAACCTCGCAATGAAATCTGTCATCACATTCGTGATTTGTGCCGGGGATGTGATGTGTTTGTGGAGCGTCGGAAAATGCAGCATCCGACCCGTGCTCAAGTCGGTCGCGAAAAGGTCCAGCTTGACTTGGAATGTGTGCATCTGCTCCACAAGATCAATGACCGTTATGTCTCTGTTTACGCTTCAGAGTTGAGAGAGACATGTTTTAGAGTTGCTATCATAGGACCACCGTTACTAGCACCACTAGACACACTTTCAAAAAACACACTGCGTTGTGGTTTGGTGGTTTCTAGGCAACGTGGAGTGTAGCGTTCATACTGCACTACTGTAGGAATTTGGCCACAGGGGGGTGGGCCATCGGGAGTTGGTTCTGGGCCGCATCTGACCCGCGGGCCGCCATTTGAATAGGCCTTAGCGTGTTCAGAATGATGTACTCACCTTCTTGGCCACACTCCTGGCTTGGGCTATCAGCTCTCTGATCCTCAGGATGTTGGTGGTCACGTTGTTAAAAGGCTTCTTCTGCTCCACCACCTTAAGCTTGTCCAGCAGCACAGGAACCAGAACATCTAGGTTCTCCACTATAGAGCATTGAATGAGACTGTAAATATATGGAGACTACAGAAAGCGAACAGAAATCAATTAAATTACTCACAGTGTAAATACATTTCTGATTTACAGTTATATGGCAATTTAAAGATGGGGATGTCCCACTAAATATCTGTGTAATGTATAGCTCACTAAAATGGCCTCTGCTCAATATAAAAATACATAATAATTGGCTGCAAATCATATTTAAATGTATAAACCAAGTCTATCCACACTAACTACAACAGTTATTAGTACCACATTCCTCCACATATAATCTGAGGCACTCCACACAGTACTTTTATTCCACTCCCTCAGTATCCAAAACAGCAGGTAAAAGATCATTTCAATTCAAAGCTCCGACTGTACAAAACTATGTTTGTATTTTTTTATTGCTAGGAAAATTGCCTCTCTGTGGCCTTATGTTCGATGTGTATCTTTCATTTTTGTGTTGTGATTGTAGTAGTATTGTCTGTGGTTGTAGTGATGTGATTTAGTTTTGTTTGTTTTTATTTTCTTGTTACTGTCTTGCTGTTTGTACCATGTTAGGACCCACTTGAAAATGAGATGGTTCACCTTAAGGGGTTTATCCTAAATCAATCCATTTCAATTAAATATCCAAGATGTGTAGTGTTGCTGTGGACATTGCAGGAGATAGTACCTGCTTGGCCGGCAGAGAGGACGGCCTCTTCGTAGGCAGTTGTAGAGTATTCATTGTTCCGCATGTTGTTGGCCCACTCCTCCACCTTGATGCTGATGGGGGTTATGGTTTGAAGGACTTCTGCTGAGCGGTTGAGAGTCGCCTCAGCCACATTCTGGGTGAACTCCAGTCGTTGTGGTGTTCTGTCTGGAATGAATGCAGAGACAAAGATACTGTTTTTGACATGGTAAATGGACTTAATTTATTCAGTGCATTATCCAGTCTTTATGACTCCTCAAAGCACTTTACATATACAAGTCATCATTTACACCTGATTCAAACAGAAGCAGGGGCAACTATGCACGGTACCACCTGATCAATAGTGACAAAAAAAGGCAATTGCTATTGCTGATAGTTTGCTTGACGTGGCGAAACAGGCCTTTATTTCAAACATTTAATGGAAATGCTGACAGACACTACACATTCCAGGGACAGTGTTTGTGCTAAGCTAGGCTAAACACCCTGCTGACTTCTCTCTGTACCGGACACAAAGATCTGAAATTTGACTGTTACTTCCAAAAACGTACCTGTATGAATCCCACTGATATTGTCCACTATTTCTGCAAGTTTTTTCGTGTTTTTATCCATGGTTTCTTTGGTCTCCTCAATGTATTTCAGCTTGTCCATCACCTCTGCTTCTACCTCTGTTACAGGGAGGTAAAGTAAAGGTCAAAGGGACATTGGATAGTGGACATATGAACAATGAAAAATCACTTCTTTCTGATTCTGTGACAGCCCCATACCATTTTGTTCTGAATGTAGAGAAACAGACTCTTTGAAGACGTTGCTGCTCTGTGTCACCAGGTTCCCGAGCTGCATGTTGATTCCATTGATGGCCTGAAACACAGAACACACAACAAAGCTACAGACTGCGGACAGTTACTACAGCGACTGTATGCTTTGTATTTCTGTGATATTACTTCTTCAGCTCTTTGGGATAAGTTGTGTGTGGTGAGCGAGGTGATGTTGGCATCATCGATGTATTTCACAATGTTATTGTAGACGTTGGCAGCGCTGATGGCTTTCTGCACAAAGCCATTGGCGTCACTCTCTCTCAGATCCCTGGTGGAGACATAATTATACATGTTGGATTATTTCTATACTGTCATTGCATCAACAATTTCCACTTCAGATGCCAGTCATATTAAATAAAATCTGTAACATATTTGTTAACAATGGATTAATTGACTATTTACACTTTATAATGGGTTGCTTGCAATGACAAATCCTAATAGAATTATAATCACCAACATAGTTTAATGCAGCGTGCAGCAGTTCTTAAGCAACTACACTGTTCAGTGATTGCAATACATTAACAAGAACAGATACAACATGCATTTATAGAAGTTGAAGCTGCACCAATCAAATGGTCATGTGTCAAAGTGGTCATTTATAGAGAAAACCCACATACAGGTATCTCCAGTGGTGACTCGTCATTAGGGCCACAGCCCCACCTAGTGTCAGCAGAAAGTACTTAAAGCTCCCATGTCATGCTTTTCCGGTTATTACCCGTCCCCTTGTGTGTTATGAAGGTTTTTATGCATGAAACGGTGTGCAGAGTTAAAACCCTCAAAGTACACCCTGTAGCGAGTAAAACTCTAACACAGAAAATACCTCCCCAAAACGCCTCGTTGGAGATACGTCACTGCCCATTTGAGTCTTCCATTTAGTTCCGGGTACGGCATGATGTCATGCCGTACCCGGAACGAAATGGACCAATCCCGAAGAGCTATGGCCACACCCAGCAGCGCTGGCCGCACCCTCTGCCAGCCTAACATTTACTGTTGGAAGCTCTGGTTCAGTTCACAATCGATCCAGTCATGCCAATGCCAAGGACCTGTTTCCTGAAATGTGAGGAGAAATCTGAGCTGTTTGTCCTACCGACGGAAGAACCACGACGAAGTCAGTGGTTGAAATTTCTTTTTAACACTGTTCCTTCAGAGGTTCGAAGAACGTTACTGTGTGCGCGGCATTTCACAGACGAAAGCTTCCAAAACATTGCCCAGTTTGAGGCCGGATATGCACAGCATTTGAAACTGAAGGACGATGCTATTCCTAGTTTGTTTGGACCGTTTGGAGCAGGGGAAGATTCGGGTACACAACCTGTAAGTTTGCATTGTTATTTGTGTATTTATCAAACAAGCCACGACTGTTTAAATGTGTAAACGTGTGTCGAACTGCTAGCGTTTCCATATATCAACTCTAATATCAGCAGATGGCCTTACATACATGTATCTCATAGCAGGAGAATGTCTGCATTCACACACGAAATACTCATACAGTATACTCCGGGTGATTTACCGTACGGTCGGTACATTACAGTTGGCTTTCCTCCGACGCTGATAGCATGTATAGCTAACGAGGCTAGCTATACATGCTAGCGGGAAACATTGTATTCATGCCAGTTACAATGAATGACCGAACGTAGCAGACTACCCGTATAAGATTGCAATTATAAACACGTTATTGCTAGCCTAATATGAACCACTAGCTTTTGTTCATAGTAGTTTTATTACACTACATTATAGTTGCCGTTACTCCGAAGCTACCGTTCATATCGTGTTTGCTACCAAGGTAAACAAGAAAGCTAGGTTAGCATATTAGCTGGCAAGCTTACTGTGTTGATTAGATAGATGGATTAGATAGATCCACACTCCTACCACAACTACTACTAACGAATCTAAAACAACTAAGTTTCTCTAATATTTTGTGATTTGCATTTGATTTCGTCCAGCCAGATCCTGGCGGAAAATACATCACGGGGACGGGACTACCACACTGATGCATCGTCCTAAAAAGCCCCGGCTGCGATAGGCAAGATGCCGACAACGGGGAGGAATGGATGATATACCGTGTATATATGTATATTTATGTTCATTTTGTACATTTCTAAAAATAAAGTTTGATGGAAATACTTAGTAGGCCTATCCTTTCTTCCCTGAATTATTTGCTCCTATAACATATCATTCATATATAGCAAACCATGATTTGATTTCTCATCAAACAGTAGTAGTTTATTACAGGTAAAAATAACTTACTCTTCTATAACAACAGTTGTAGGTACAGTTCGGTTAGTTAGCGTATAAAATATACGGCTGTACCGACGCCATTATAAGACTGATGTTCCGCTCAGAGCGAGCCGAAAAAAGCACTGTTAGACATGGGCGGAGCCTCTCTGGTGGTTGACTAATCAGAACAGAGTGGCCGAGCTGACCAATCGGAGCACACTAGGCTCACAGGGAGGGGGGGGCAAGAGCTCCAACGAGTCGTTTAGTGGAGAGAGTGAATACTGCTGAATACACATACTTTACAGAGATGCTGTATGCGAAACCAATGTGAGTTTGGAAAATTGCACAGTATAAATCTATTTTAGTATACCTCAACAATGGAATTATGATCAGTGGAAATGGCCATGACATGGGCCCTTTAAAATAAGGATTCCAAAAATATGAAAAAAATATATATCTTAAAATATATTTTAAGATCATGTTTAGTCATCTGATTCGTCTGTACATTGCTGTTTTGTAGTGAAGAGGAGACGAGAGAGAGCAGCGTATAGCGATTAAAATCAGTAAAACGGAAAGCAAATGAATGAAGTTGACCATCGACTTCAGCTTTGGTAAGTTCATTTCACATGTCATATATTTTGTTGATCTTCTGTGTTTTGCCTATAGGCTTTTGCTCTGCTGGATCGATTGATATTGTGACACGGTATTGTTAACATGGCCCACCAGTGCAGAAATACCCGGATGTTGACAAGCAAGCCTCTATCATGACTTTTGGTTCACTATAACACACATTTCTGTGGAGAATACGAAGATTTTTTCAGTTCTTGTCAAGCAAATGTATATGTACTACGTATGTTACTAAAGAGGTTTTAGATTGGCGAGTGTCCATGTGAAGTTATCGTCATCTCTCGGTGTGAAAACAGTATTTCCCGTGTTGGCATTTTCATAGTATGGTGGTTGCTAGGGACGCAGCTCTCGCTGCCGGAAATTAGTTTTCTCGTCACTGTCCAACACATTCTCACTCCCAACTCGACCTTTATGTCAGGATCCCCTTTAGCGTCGATTTTCAACTATCAGGGAGTCCCATTGACTTGCATAGAGCGACACCCCCCCCCTCTCTCTATCCTATCGGAACCATAGATAGCCAGCTATTTGTTTACGTGTTTAAAAAAGCACCAGAAGCATATATAAACATCTACGTTTTTCGTGCCCCACCACTTTTGTACATATAAAAACGCCACTGGGTATCTCTCTCTCTGTACTTCCTTGAATTTGAATGAATCTCATATCGTTTTATCAAAACTATAAATCACAATCAACTCGAAATGCGGCGCAGCGTTTGCGGGCTTCACGTAACGCCCATATTTGCCTATAAATAGTCAAAGAAACGCCCCGTATTAATATTCATTTTGACTGACTGCATGAAGAAGATCGCAGGAAATGACGATAGAACAGCTAAAAAAGACATCTCACACGTGTCAGATTTAGGTTATTTTGGGGAGGTCGAGATAAATCATATTGTTTGGTGGATGCAGTTTGAACCAGAGTAGCAGCATGGAGGTCGGATCGTCACCAAAATAAATAAATAAGTGGTCCGAAAAAAAGTTAATGACAAAAAAAATACACATAACCTTCCTCAGGCAGTGTGTTTGTACCGGGGACAGGAGACACCCCCTTGATGAGAAACTGTAAGAAATGATGGGGGAATCCCTCCGGAGTGGAGTCATGACGACTGGATCTGAATTATTTTTTTGTATTTGGTGGTTTGTGTTCCAGCTGTCGATCAGCTGTGCGCAGCGTCTCCACTGCAGCCTGTGCGTCTCAACCCCCCCGCTGCAACTCTATATCCACCAGTTAAAGGAAATACAACTAATGTGTTGTGTTATATTAGCTGTACAATTTACCACATATGGTGTTCTTAGTTTCCATACCTCCTGTGTTTTATGAGCGACTTATCAAGTATTGGCGAACGGCATAAAACATGATCAAACATGATAGTATAAACCATGCTCGTATCTATTCAACCTATAGAAAAGCAAAACGGCGTCAGTTTAAAGTAATTCTGTCCTCCTGCTTACCGTATCATTTATGAGAATACATTAACAAGAGAACATCATCGAGGGGTGATCAATAACATTTCCGTATTTATTTATTTCTCCAAGTTATGTTTTTGTGTGCACTGAGGAGTCTCAAACAGGCGTTTGTTGAATCATTTTAAGATTTGAAAATGAATTCTTCATATATGATACATGAGAGGTAACATTTTATTTATGGTATTATTTCCACATATTTCTCTCCATTCTTCCTTCTGCCAACGGTGTCGCAGTTTCTCGTCTCTCCCGTTTTTGTGCGTACCGCGTACAGATGGGTCAGAGTGTGCGTGGAGGACCGCACATTTTCCCGTCAAGTTTGTTTTTTATAAATCGCAAAGATTGCATAGAAACTGGCGTACGCCATCTTTTGAGCGTACGCAACGTTTATAAATGAGGCCCCTGATGTAGGACATCCTGTTTTTCTTAGCATACTGTATTTGACTTACTTTGCATGTCATACTATATTACTAGTTTTGACAAAGGCAGCGCCTACCAGATCCATTCCTTCTGTTTTAACCTCTCACAATCACAAGGACATATAACCTGGTAAGGACTTCATTGTTACTTAAATATTATATATTTTTAATTCAGACGGGTGTCTCACTCCTCCAGCTGGTTGGCCTGGCGGTCCAGGTCTTCAGCGTGGTCATCAGCCCTCTGCACCAGATCTCTGTCAGCCAGCACCAGACGCTCAGTCTTCTCCGTCAGCTTTTGGCCGGCACCATCAATCGCTGCATGGTACTGACTCACGTTCTGACAAATGTACACATGCAGACTCAGACACATTGAACATATATCATTCATAAACTATTTGAAAGCAATTGGTAATTATGTCAGAATCTACAACAGGCGTATCTCTGGACTATGCAGTGCTGATCTCCGTTTCAGTCTAAGTAACCCCCGTAGTCTTGTAGGCCTCACCTGCACCATAGCCTCCATCTCAGCCACAGTCCTCTCAGTGTCAGAGATGGAGCCTCTGGATGTCTCCAGTGTGTCGTTGACAGCAGCGTATTCCTCTGTCAGCCTCTGCTTCCTGGCCTGGGGGCACACGGTGAAAACACAATTAAGAATGTATTAAGCTTTAAAGCTAATCTAAAATAGGGAGAGAAATGAATGTGAAATATCTAACCCTTGGCTCCTTCTTGATTGTTAGACACAATTTATGCTTCTGTTACTTTTTTTATTAATATGATAACTATATCCTCAGTACCTTTGGTTGTTTCTGGCCTGGGACTTTAGCTGTCATTCTTTATAGTGCTTTTATTTCATACAGTTTAAAGAGAAGGCTCTTCTTATAGGAGGTATGTGGTTGGTTGTTGCCTTCAATGTGCATGACTGAGTATGGACCAACGATGAGAGAATTTGATTGGCTGTGGTAACCCTGCAGTGCCCCAGATTAGGGGAGGCTCAATGTTTGGTTAGTGCACCATTCATGGCATTGATTTACAGCAGAGACCCTGATCATGGAGATCCCTACTCCTGATAACACATGCTCAACCCAAAAGACATGAATACAGACACACAGGCAGATACACCGAGTTCAGCAGCAGCTGTTCTGCTGCAGCTGAGCCATAATGTCAACCAGGGCATGACCACAACTTCCTGGAGTCAAATTCCTACAAATTCTTACATAGGATTATAGGAGACATAAATCAACAAATCCAGGGAACAACATACAAATACTGTATAGTATGTACCCTCAAAGACTGAGAGGTCCAAATGATGTGCACTGTGAACCTTTTCCCATGGCTAATATTTTAATGTGAGTCCTTCCATGCAGCAGAAGGTCTCTAAATCTCACTATAAACCCGAACATACAGAAGCTAGAAACTTGCCTCGGATACAGCAAGTAATCCATCACAGTGAGCATAATGTCTGACATGTATTAGTCGGCTCATACACCAAAGAGTATTTCACATACTTTGAAATAATATGTTTGACATTATTACTTACAAAAACATACATATTTCACTTTGTAAAAATAAAAGTTTACATTATAATTACTATGCGGAAACATTAAAGGTCATGTTATGTCTCTTCTATTTTAGTTTCTTCTTAAAGAAAGGTAAAGTATTTACGGTATATATTCTGCAAGTATGAAGCAACACATTCATGTGGAGTTGTATCTAAATGAATGTAGGTTCAGGATGTGAATCTGCTCTTTAGCTGCTAAATGCTCGCATGTTCCCCAGCGAGTGTGTCACTGTCTGTCTGAGCAGGGAGGATACTGTGGCTTTATAATATTCAAACTGTTTCATACATTTTTATAATGCCTCAACACCTTAATAAATTACTTTTAACACTTTTCTTCGTTAATGCTACTCCTTTTTAGCCATGGTTGTGTACCTATTTGTCTTTATTTGTATTTCATTACTAATGTCTGCTTTCCTTCTTGAAATGTAATAAGTTTACTCTTTATTATTGCATGCCTTTCTTTAACTGCTATGCCACTTTTGCTGTAACTCCTCAAATGTCCCTGCTACGGGACTAATAAAGGACTTCTGATTCTGATTATACTCAAACAGCTTCCTGTTGCTGCTGGAAAAAAGGTGGATGAGAACAGTGAGAAACATAGAGTTTCTCAAATGATTGACCTCCACTCTTTGAGCATAATCTTTTCCATCTGGTGGAGCACTTCTGACTATAAAACATACATGTAGTATTGCAGAACACTGTTCACTGCCCTCTAGTTAAAGCTCATTAGCTTTGTTGCTGAGAGGACGATAAGTATTTCAGAGATGTATCTGTATGCACTACAGTCTTTTAACTGTCTGAAACACATGCCTCTTAGCATGGCGGCTCCAGGGTATGGCTGGGGTAGGCTACAGCCATACCAAGAAATGGCTTAGCCCCACCTTAGCCCCACCAAGAAAATAAAGTCCGCCAACTCGCGCGGAGTAAATTGCACAAACAGCAGCTAGTAAGATTGATTTCAGTAGCCACTTGTCTGGAAATGCAGAAGACTAGAAACGGTTTTGAAAACTTTTGTCACGTAGTGATCGTCTTCCCAATAAAACATCTTTCAGAATCACGATAACGGCGTGGTGTTGTTGCAGGAAGTCCCGACGGAGAATACTTTTGCGGTAGTACATCTCTATATACATCGATACAACATTACGTGTTGATAGAAATCAACACGTAATGAAATAAGACCCCACGGTTTGATGATTGATAGGTGTGTGGGCTGTCTTTCATTTTGACACACAGAACAATGGGGGCTATCCACCCTTATCCACAATGTAAAGTAATTCAGCCTCTTCCCTCTTCTCTCTGTGAGGAGCAGCAGGTTCAGCTTTCAGAACAAAGTAACAAAAAACAAAAATGGCATTCATTTTTTTAAATGTGTAGTAATAGATTTAATTATTTTTCTTCTCAAGAGAGTACCAGAATGTGTATTTTCTGTTAGAAGAAATTAAAGGACGGCGCAAGTGGAAACAATTCACAAGGGAATTAAACTGTTTAAAACACATGCTCAAAGTAAGCCGGATTTTGCCGATGTGTTTATGTGGATACAAAAGTCGTAAATAATCTACAAAATGGAGGAGACTGATCTGATCGGAGCAACTGTGACAAATAATCTGAAACCGGCATGGACAATGACTATGTTTCAAAAATGCGCTTATCCAGAAAAGCCTGGTTTGGACACTTTACGGGCAGAAGAAACATTTCTATTAAAGAAAGAATTATACATTTCTGTCTTATTATGCCTATAATAGCTACTAACTTGAATTTTTATTCAAATTAATTAATCAATTATTTTTTATATTTTATTGTAATGTAGAGACAACGCTTTGATAGTTGGCCTCAAATCATCTGAGGCCTGGCGCCCCCCCTGCGATCTTTGGCGCCCCCCTGCTCTAGGGTACAAAGGTTAGTGTACTGTATAGCTATCTGCTAATACACACCACAACCAACCCAGTCTCACGGCATTTCGTGTAATAGTCACGAAATTTATTTAATCTATTGATTCGTGTTCACCAACACGATTTTCGCATTTTTTTCGTGTCACACAGAACGATTTTAAAAGCAATGTATTTCTATTGGTAGTATGTTTCGTACCTGCGTCTTTTTGTCCGGTCGGGTCTTGGAATACCAGAAGCTGTGTGGTTCATAAAAACATTTTCTTACTCAATATCAAGCCACGATTATTGTTTTTATTTTAAATTGTATAATGTCGGACTTTTTTTGACGTCTGCGAGGAAAAGAAATGGGGCTCCGAGCCTCAGAATACTGAAATCTTTATTTTTCAAATCTTTATTTCCTTATAATTTGTTATTATTTGGTGCAGGCACAAAACATACTACCAATAGAAATACATTGCTTCTAAAGTCGTTCTGTGTCAGAATACTGAAATCTGTATTTTTGAAAATCTTTTTTTCCTTCTAATTTGTTAATATTTACATTGCTTTTAAAATCGTTCTGTGTGACACGAAAAAAATGGGGAAATCGTGTTGGTGAACACGAATCAATAGATTAATTTCGTGACTATAACACGAAATGCCGTGAGACTGGGTTGCCACAACATATGCTATAATGTTAGCTTATCATTATCAACGGATTTTCAGAGTTTCTTATTTTTCTCTCGGAGTTGGGATGAGATTCCTCAGTGCAGCGATGACTCTGTGGGCGGTATCTTGTGTGTGGGCTCTGGATATTATCATGGGAAAATGTTTTTTATTGCAGCATTGCTGCTCCCCTGTGCGGGCCTCCTCCTAATGTAACAGAGCAAAGCTCCCACAGATGGTTTGTGTTTCTGTTCTCAGCACTTAATACCACCAGTAATAGACTGCTGTCTCACCAGACATGCCGGGAAAACAACAAGCTCTCTCTCAGCCTGTGTGTGTGCAGTGCTTGCTGACGGGGGACGGGGGGGCTCTTCTTGTGTCTTTTAAGGCCAGGTACCGCAGTGTGGTTTAACATGGTAGCAGTATGAGAGGCGATGAAGCAGGCTGAACTTGACTGCTCACAGCAGGGACAGAGGGCTGTGAGCTCTTCAGCAGCATATTTATAAGTGCAGCCTGACAAACAGAGAAGGGAGTTTTAGGGGAGAGATGCACTCAGCAGGAAGGGTTACCTCATTCCTCTGGAATTTGAGGACCCTGGCTCTGTTCCTGTCCTCCGTCTCCTGAAGGCTGCTGGCTGCTTTCTGCAGGAAGCCCTCAGCGTCCGACAGCTTGCTGGAAAAGCGCAAAAAAATCTCCCTGACAGGAGGGAGTCTGCCGTCTGTGATGATCAACTTCTTCTCCAACTGGCGGATTCTCCTCAGCACTGGAAACACAATCACACACAGGAGCCATTACTTTATCATTAGTGGCACATCTGGGTGAATCTCTGCAGTCTGGTTAAAGCAACTGAGAGCTGTGGGCTTAACATTTCTTAATCTTAAAGAGTATCTAATAAAATAGCTATAACAATAATAATATACAGATAACACATATTGGATGGTATGACATTTGATACAGGTATTTGTGTTTTAAAGAATTAATACATTAAGTAATGAACCAGAAGTTTGGTCTACTGTACTTTATCTTGAGTACTAATTATCACATTTTAGCATGCTAGCATGCTAAACAAAGATGGTTGCCATAGTTCATTTACTTTACTACATTTTAGGATGTTAGCATTTTGTTTGGAATAATGTGCACAGAAGCATTTAATAGAAACACTTCGCCTAAATTGAGCTTCATTAAACCAGCTAGCATCAATCTGCTCTCTTCACTTGCACAGCTTACTAAAAAGTAATTTCATGTGTGTGTTTAATTGCCATAACAAATACATGTGTGGAGCATGCTTGTGTTTTGTGAACTGCTGCCTGTCTCCTCACAGTCGTGGGCTTCAGTGGACTCGTCAGTGGCGGTGGGCTCTCGTGGGGACAGGTCCAGGGTCCTCATCCACGTCAGCATCCTGTGGGCCCGCTCTGCGCTCTGCCTGGCCAGCTCTGGATCCACTTCCTGCTGCACACTGTACAGCTCCCAGTCATGGATCATCTCTACACACACATTAACACACAGAATCAGGAGCCTAAATACACAAGTCACTCAGACTTCAAGTGTAGATTATAGATCAAATGCTTTTTATAAAGTTCCGCCCTCCTAAGATATTGTATATGTAAAATCACTACATGCAGCCTGAAAAACTGCCTTCCCATGATTGCAGGACAGACAAAGACGTCATGTGGCCTGGATCAGATCTGTCGGTACCTTCGATGCGTATGTTGAGGTCGGTGAGGTCACTGCTGAGCTGTTCAGCCAGGGTGAAGGTCTGCAGCGTGTCGTTGTCCAGCTTCTCCCCCAGAGCCTGCACCACACGCTCCTGAAGAAACACCACCAAAACACCACCAAAACCAGTCAATGACACATGACTCAGCCGGTGGAGCCACTCTCAGGTGTCTCTGTACAGATGAGGTGCTGAGTATATAACTGCACTTCAGGTCTAAATGTGTAGTCTATGCAATGTTGAGTGAAAAGTGAATTATAAAGAAGAAAAAAGCTTTATTCAGAAAATTCTTTAAAATGTTTTTGACTAAGATTACAGCTGTTGCTGCCCTGACACTTGATTTTCCCTTCGCTTTATCTTATCCTATCTTAAAGTGATGTAATTGAAAGATGATGCTCTCCTGACCGAGTCTCCCAGCTGTTTGATGTCCAACACCACCGCGTCTGTGTTCTTCTCCAGCTCCCCCGCCTGGGCCTTCATCACAGCTGACTTGTTCCTCCAGCCTTGAAACTGAGTCTGTTGAAAGATGAAATATATTCTTTGGACAAGCTCATTGAAGGAAAAAAACGTACACAACTTTCACAAGTGACACCAAAAAATTATTTGATCCATTGTTTATGTTTATTTGCAAATATTAACGGGCGGAGCTTCAACTTGTCTTCGATGCATATTTTTTTGTTCTTGCATGTCATGAGTGTATGAACCTGCAGTCGTAGAGCAGTGTAGTTGTAGTATTTGAGCCTGTCGTTGGCTGCAGCCCCGGAGGAGATGTTCAGCACTGCCACTTTAAGCTGGTCCAGCGTCTTATTGGACTGCCGCAAGTCTCCAATCAGATGCCAAATGCACTCATCACAACCTGAAAGCACAGAGTCATTGCAGTACCACAGCACAGTGTGTTACAATTTACATCATGTGGTCTTTTGTTGGGGGCTGTAGTGGTGTGTCCTGCAGTCACTTACTGATGTTGCACAGGTTGACAGCAGCCTCTGACAGGCACTCCCCTGTATGCATATCACAGTGTCCGCTCTCACAGTCACACTCTGTGAACACAAGCAGCTGAGCGTCACCACAGAGGAAAGACATAAAGTATTGCGGAACAGGTCAGTGTACAGTAACCACACACAGATGGCTCGTTGGCCTGAGTCCTGCACATCTGTCTTGTGGCTTCTCTTGTGTGGGACTGATGCTTTTAGCAGCTGTGTGTGTGTGTGTGTGTGTGTGTGTGTGTGTGTGTGTGTGTGTGTGTGTGTGTGTGTGTGTGTGTGTGTGTGTATAGATTGGGCTGCATGGTGATGTCATCCAGCTCTCAGCAGAGAGGGCCAGATGCTTCCTGACATTATGTGTGTGTGCACTGTGGTAGATGGGAAGGGAACATGAGTACTCAGCGAGGCCTTTCCTCTGGGAAAGCGTTATCTGCAGTTAATGTTTCGACAAATGGTGCGGGGGTGTTTATTCAGGAGAGCCAAAAAGGTTTGACACACAGTATGACAGACAGATGCCTTACTCTGGCAGCCAGAGGGGATATAGTCCCAGTAGCCGGGGAGGCAGCGCTCACAGTAACGGCCCCCGGCCCCAGGGCGGCACGAGCAGCTGTGGGTGAGGGGGTGGCAGGTGGAGCGGAGGGAGGCCGGCCCGCATTCACACCTCCGACAGCCCTGACAGCTGGAGAAACCAGAGTAGCCCTCCTAGAGTACATGAAGAAAAGCGCGGTCAGACAATCACACAGGCTGTCGTTATAGTCTCCAGCTCATAGGGTCCTGTTGTGAACCCGGAAATGTTCAGTACCAAAAGTTTTATGTTAGAAAAAAGTGTAAGACATGCAGCTGCAGAAAGTGCATACAAATCAACTTTGGAGATAACAAAACAGTCCACGAGGACATTCATAAAACGTTATAAAGTATTAATAAACGGTACAGACATTGGGGACAAATTAAGTTTGAACTGGTGCATATTGATAGCTATTTGTGTTTTGTTTACTGTTCCATTAAAATAATGTATTCATTTGTGTTGTTTGGATTTGCTTTCTCTTGCATGTGTTCAATGTTCCGCGAGCATTAGAGCATTTCCGAACATTTTAAGTAATTAGACCAGTGTTGACTTTGTTTAAGCAAACGAGAAAATGTTATCCTCCCACTGTCACCAGACCAACATGTTAAGATTTTGAGGGCCTAAGATATTCTACAAAATAATATTTAAAAACATTTTTTGTTTTTGTTTTACCAAAACAACTTAATTTAATTGTATTTAAAATAACATTTCCAAAGAAATAAATCCTTCGAGTCTGCCTATTCAGTTTCTGTTGGAATGTGAAGGGTTAAATGAAAGAAGCTCGTCTCTGCGAGGTGAAGACAGGAGCTGATTGGTGGTCCAGCTATGAATTCACAGAGGGCCAGCTACAGTAACTCAACGAGAGAGTAATGTCAACTGACAGTACAATTGACCAATCATATCTTCCCTCTAAATGGGTAGGCTTTATTATCGCAGACTTTATGACAAGTTCCCCCCGCTGGGAAGTTTATACATGTGTTATAGAGAGGCGAAGTCCCTCCCTTTCCGGTGAACCTTATTTCGGAAAAATTATGTATTGAAGTCAATGGCGAGAGAAAAGCTATCTTTCGATCCCGTTTGAATTGTGCCACGAATTACACATATGATGTTTGGCAATTTAAAAGATAATTTTGCAAGTAAAAAAAAAAATGTTTTTCCGTAAAACTGTGAAGTAAGACCTTTTTTGTGTGAAACCGCTCAATGAACTACATCTCTGGTCTCGCACAACAACACACGTCACCAAGATGGCCGTCACTACTGTCTTGCCAAAAAAGGGATTGACTACCCTCACTATCACCACAATGAAACACGTCCAGAAGAATGTCATGCAAAGCTGCCTGCCTTCCTTCGATTGTCCCTGAACTGCCTGATCTTTTTAATGTTTAATGTTAACCATTTGTGCAGATAGCATGAAGTAATAAAAGATCGCCGATGCTAATGTAGCGTTAGCATTAGCATGTCTCCCCCGGGGGCATCCGGGCTTAAATTGTGTATTATAGAATGATCACACCAGTGACAGTACTCTTCAAAGGGTTCACGAAATATGACTACTACTCTTACTGTTTAACATTTTGGGTTACTTAATGTTACTTCATGTTAAGGCTAATAAAAATGACAAGGCTAAGGCTGTAATGCTAACTAACGTGCTTGCTACTAGCTAGGTAGCTAACTTGATCCAGCCACTCCTGGTCCTTTCATCAGACGGGAAGCAAAAGAATGAGCAAGACCCATTGCTGGTATGATAACAACCTGGTACTAAGCACACAGGCATCTTGTTAAAGTTATCTTATCTTAGCTATCTCTTATTTAGTGGAGGAAAACAATTATGACATCAGTTATGACATCACTTACGCGACTCTGGGATTTGTAGTCTTTCTAGTTGCGTATTTTTCATAGTCTTATATTTCAACAGTTTTACGACAAACTGTGACTTTTTTGACATGGAAATGATTTTTTAAGATTGACAAACATCATATGTGTAATTCATGGCACAATTCAAACGGGATCGAAAGATACGTTTTCTCTCGCCATAGAGTGCCACAGTGACGCGTCCTAAAACCCGGAAGTAAACTCCTTCCGATAGATAGATTTATGATTCGAAAATTATAAAAGTCATCAAAAAAGATAAAAGTCATGATAAAAGAATCATAAATCTTATCGATAGATAGGGGTCAGAGGGCCTAGGTATAAAAGTCACGGCTCGCCACTGTTGAAACTAGATATTTTTACAGCAAGCAGGCAGATGTTATTCTCAACATTTTACTTTCTAACTTTTACTGTTTATGTAATTTGTCTCCCCAAAAATTGTGCTTACCCTGGGTCGAATTTTGCATTCCGAAATAATGTTTTTGTCACTCATATGAATGACGGCCCAAAACCATGGAAATAAGAGCTACTGTGAACAAACAGGAAGTACGATCACGTGGTCTCTCTCACCTCACACTGGTCGCAGAGGCGTCCTGTGACTCCCGGCTTGCAGTGACACACACCTGTCCTGTCGTCGCATGAGGAGGTGCCACATTCACTGCACTCACAATCTGCGACACACACAGGGCACATTCACTGATGGGAAAAGTAGAGGTCAGAGCCTGCTGACAGGGTTATTTTTGGACAGGGAGGGCCTAAAGGCATATGCTAATCCTTGATCCGTAATGTTCACCTCGTCAGGTTTTTCCATCGAACATCTTCAGTTGACACCAACTAAGTCTAACTTTTGCTGCATACACTGAAAAGAAATCTGAAACTTTACTTTTATTAAATGTATAATGACAACTGATTTCACACAACTGTATTAGGTTAGTTAAAAGCAATAATAATAAGTTACAAATATTATTGCTTTCAACTAACCTAATACAGGTATGTGACATTTGTTGACACAATAAATGTAATTAAAGTCAACGTTTCAGATTTTTCAGTTTATGTAATCATTCTGAAATAAAATAAAGATATGAACATATATGTGATGTCATATGCTAAACTCAACCTGGAAATAAAGTCCCAGGTCATCCTGTGTTTAGAGCTTTAAGCCACAACATGGGATCTCAAACACATCTTGCAGTTCACTCGTTGCCCCCACCTCTGCAGTTCTTGGCACTGATGGCGTCGCCGTAGAAACCGGGGGCACACCTTTCGCACTTGGCCCCCCCGGTGTTACCCCAGCAGTGCTGGCAGTGGCCCGTCACGTTGTGGCACTCGCTGAAGATCAGGTTAGGGTCGGAGTTTCCGTTACAGTCGCACCTCTTACAGGAATTACCAATCTCCATGGGCTTGCCGTAGTAACCTGGAGTACACCTGATGGAGGAAGTGTACACATGACTCAGTATCACTGTGTGTAACAAAGGACAGGTTGAGAAAAAACTGACAAAACTGACAAAATAAAATATAGAATAATTCACAATTGTTTTCTTTATTCATCAAGTGTTTCTGTGTTTGCAGGTGTTTTTTGATTTGGGTTTAATTCATTTGCAACATTTCTGGGTTCACTATGCTGGCAACTAGACTATTATGTTAACCTCAATCAGTCATCTTTAGATTTTGTGTTGTATTATGTGAACAGAGAGCTGGTTGGTGGTTTGAACCCCCCCAGCACTGACCTCTCACACAGATGTCCAGCGTAGCCCTCTTTGCACTTGCAGCGCAGAACGGCAGCTCCTCCGTCACAGTGCACTGCAAAGCTGCACACACACAGGGGGGGGGGGGGGGGGGGGGGGGGGGGGGGGGGTATTTCAGAGGTTACACACTGCCAACACACAGCACTGTGGCTGCACAAACAACAAGAGAGGGGCTTACTTATTGGAGGGAAGGGACAGGGGGCAGGCGCAGGGGCGGCAGGTGTGTCTTCCATCTCGGCTGGGGGCAACCATGTAGCCATCCTCACACATCTCACAGAAATCTCCTGTACTGTGATCCCTGCAGTTCTGAAGAGAGAACATTGGCTATGGAAATTAAGTTGAATGCAGTGATGTGGACAGATAAATAATGTGGGGAAACTTACTCTGCAAACACCAGTGATGTCTTCACAGGAGTCTGCGTGGCTTTTGCAGTTACACGGAAAGCACTGGTTTCGCTCACTCAGGAAAAATCCCTTTTTACACTGTAAAGTAGAGGGAACAGACATTTTTTATAAAGTCTTTAAAATCCTTTGGGCTCTGGGACTTCTTCTCCCTGAGTAGAGTAGTTTACTACTCCCTCTGCAGAGCCTCTGTGTACATTAAATGTTGTTCATAATAAATGACGAGATTACTCCTTTGATACCAATAATATTCCTGATAGTTCTGATAGAGATGTTTTTACAATTGAACATAATGTTTCAGGCACCAGTTGGCTTGTGTTCTACAGAATGACGTTTTAAAAGTTGCATCCTGTCTGATGTTTGTTCACCCCGGATTCTCAGGATGGTGTAATATGGGAGGTCAGAGCCATGACACACACACACACACACACACACACACACACACACACACACACACACACACACACACACACACACACACACACACACACACACACACACACACACACACACACACACACACACACACACACACACACACACACACACAGCCCTTTGAATATCTTTAAACACTTGAAACAGAACCATTCAATGAGGCGTACAATAGCAGTCTGTAACTCCATAGTTTGACCTCCTTGTTCCACTCAGTTAACTGAAGCCTCCAGAACATTCCACAGCCTAACAGAAAGTGTACAGTGCTGTATGCGTTACCCATGATTCACATTTGCCTTAGATTTTTCAAAGACATACTTCTGTAGCTTGCTAATGTGAAAGACCCTGTGAACAGCAGCATGGATTCTTCCTGCAGACCCCCTGACCCATAGGGCATGCTCTACAGCAGGGTGCCCAAACTCTTTCACTGAGGGCCATATACAGAAAAACATACGAAGGGCTGGGCCCCTCACATAAGTTAATTTATAAGTTCGCAAAATCAATCAAATGTAGGTAAGTTATTCTTGATACTTGAATATGTTGAAGAAAAAACAGCCTCCATCACAGCTCTCCAGAGGGTTTACTTAATTTTATTACAAAAAGTGTTGCAGCTCATTCCTTAAAACAGAAGCCTCAGATTGCTTATGTAGCAGGATGAGTCCTAATCGCCGTTGTAAGGCATATTCTTGTGAGCCTATCACCACCAGGGGGCACCCTATAAAGGAGCAGAGGCTTCTAGCTGGCTGCCTCTTGTTCGTTGGTGCCCAGAACACCCTTTGAGAGGAGGACACTGGAGGGAAAGCTTAGAGTAACAGAGCTCGGACCTGATCAGCCTGACATAGGCAGGAGTTAAGGACAGAGGAAGGCAGTATACGTGCTCTTTTTCAAGGAGCTGGTTTAGCAAGAAGGCTTGGCTAACTACCTGTAGCAACACCAGTGCTATATTTAGCTTCCCCTACCTCCCTTTTCTAACGTCAGGATCAGACCAGTCTATGGACCAGACCCAGCATGGATCCAGACAGATGTGAGTGACTTAAAGCACATATCAGAAAAAACTAAAAGGCATGAACAAACTAGAGTCCACATGGATGATGTTATGCGACTAGCAGTCCGGCAGTGGCTCAGTCAGTAGGGGCTTGGACTGGGAGCTGTAGGGTCGCCGGTTCAAAGTCCCCGACCAGACCTAAAAATGGATTGTGGACTGCTACTTGGAGAGGTCCCAGTTCACCTCCTGCCCTGCCGTGGTGCCCTTGAGCAAGGCACCGGACACCCCCCTTCCCCCCCTCACTCCCATTGCTCCCCGGGCGCTGAACAATAGCTGCCCACTGCTCCTAGTACTAGACTCCTGGTACTAGGATGGGTTAAATGCAGAGGCCAAATTTCACTGTGTGTGCTGTGTGCTCTGCATGTGTGACCATTAAAGAGGGTTTCATCCCTCCCAATTCTATTCTATTCTATTCTAGCCATGTTTAGGAAAGTAAACACAGCTGTCCAATGAGGGCTACAGGATAGGGATCAGTAAGCATAATGAGGAGGTTGACAAAAACAGGAAAGTCCTTTCTAAAATAATTGACTATCAAGTGCTGTGTGCCTTTGAGCTAGCCCTGCGTTGTAATATGACATGTGTTTTGAGTTTGTGTATAAGTTTGCTTACATTTTGGTAGAGCCCCCCCGGAGAAAAATGCACCAGCCGCCACTGACCTGTACTGCTGATTCTGTGTGCTGCTAAGTGCTAATCAATTGTTTGCTTTTGGCTACTGTGTTCGGGCCGGTTTTGGCGTTGCCTACGGCAGTATCATCACCTGTGCTGCTGATCCTGTGTGCTGCTAAGTGCTACATCAATTGTTTACTTCTGGCTACTGTGTTTGGGCCGGTTTGGCGTTGCCTACTCTGTAGGTCCGCTCCCCTGGTGGGATTTTAGTGACTGGACTGCTGGGCTAACTCCCTCTTGTTATTTAGTTATTTTTTCCTCCACTGGATTTAAACTATTTTGTTTACTTTGGTTTTCATTAATAGTTTATTCCTATTATACTTTTAGAATTAGCTTCAGGTCAACTAAAATTGGACCATGGGCCGCAGTTGACCCCTGCTCTTCATCATTATCGTATACTGTACATATTCGATGTGGCAAACTTCCATGTAAACACATCCTGAAACTGCAGCTAATGAATTTAAAATGTGTTTGGTGCCCACAGAAAAACAGATGAAACATTTGGCTCCAAATGGTAGTCCAAGCCATCAGGATTAATGACCCACAGGTTTATGTGAAACCCCTGAGATCCCGAGCTGCTTCCCATTTGTAAAGCCACTTGTTTAGGCCTATTAGCTGTGTGACAGTCAGTGATGGTTCAAACAGCTGCAGTGTGTGCACAGGGCCCAGCGTTAGCAGACAGGCAGCTGGTGGTCTTGAGATATGACATGGACTCTCTAGACTCCTCTAAAAATGAGAGGAATGGCATCAGTATAAACACAGTAAGATGTGGAGTAACAGTTTCCTGCCCAACTTTGGATGACTTCACGTTGCGATCATTTGCGTTTATGATTTGGGCTCCACCACAGAAAGGAATAGTTCAACATTTTGGCAAATATGCTCTGTCATTTACTTTCAAAGAGTGAGATGAGAAGATTGATTCCTCTAATGTCTGTCAACAACTATGAAGCTTAGACTTACGCCTATAGCACAAAGACTGGAATAAAACAGGAATGAAAGAATGAGCGCTGCTCTGTCTGAAGTAAAAAATATTATTTTAAACTCCTGTGAACAAGTAAGATGTTGTCTCCATTATTTAACCTGATCATCAACAGAAATGTAAGATGGGCAATTGTAGATGCATTTGAACTATTTGATAAACAACATCCATCCACCCAGCCCTTTCCAGCTACGTTAATGGAAAAAGCATTGACGAAGACACTGTACATAGTGCTCAGCAACAAACAGCAGACAGACACCGGCCTGTTGGTGGAGACTCACACTGTGTCACAAGTTCGACACATTTATAGTTGTTTTTGGTTTGAAATATCATAACTCTCCTGTCATTTCAGATCCCGCCTTCCTCCAGGCTCTTACAATCAGCTCACTCCCCTCACCTGATCTCCCCAGCCCTCCACCTCACCTGATACATTCCCTCATTAACTCCACAGTTTATATACCACCTCACTGTCACTTGTCCTCTGCCAGATTGTCTTGTGTGTTTTGCCAAGCTCTCCAGCATTTCCTATTATATTTGCCTAGTTATCTGTTCTGCCCGGTTTTGACCCTGCCTGCCTGATTTTGGACCTGGAGTTTCCTCCCCATTTCCTGGTTATAACCCTGCCTGTCCTTGACCTGAATAAACCGAACCTTTTGAACACTGCTTGTATCTGTGTCGTGCTATTGGGTTCAAATCCGTACCTGTAAACGTGACATACTGAGCTAAAAGTGTTGCGTGCTTGGAGACAGCTCTAAATGAATGCTTATGTTGCTCTGTACTGGTGTGTACACATATTAGCTAAGGAGAAAGCCATGGACACAGTGTAAGGTTTAAATGTATTGATGCATTATCATGTTTCTTTTTCTTCTAACATACATTGAAAGTGACATTGAGAGTAAAATATGTCGTCATTCGATTGTGACTGAAATGTTGTTTGACTAACATAAGCCTATTTCTTTCTCTGTTTTCCTCCTTGTCAAAAAAATGTAATTTTTTTTCTGTCTGTATGAATCTAGCTTAGCTGAGATTTTGATTAATCGTTCACTCCATATTGCCCTCCTTGATATGGCCACTAGTGTGAGAGAAACATCCTCAGTGAACTTTAGAGATGTCAATAGCCATAGTTTAACTTTGAGCCAGGCTAGCTGACCCTCCTCAGTTTTTAGGGCTAGGTTAAATATTCTTTATAAAGCCCAGAAACTACCCACAAGTTGATATACTCTTATCTTAAAAAGACAGCAAATGTTTTGACAAGACCCCTTTTCCCTGGGGTTAGTGGAATCTGAAAGTGAGAATAGGAATGTTAACCATTGTGCTCATTTCAATACCGCTTAACATTCTGAGAATTAAAGAAATTGACATTTGCAGCCTTCGCCAGCTATGAGCACACTCAGTGATGTGATGTATTTCTGTGGCCCTCCCACTGCCCTAACTACAGCGGAGAACAAAGATGACATTCAACATGTTAGCCTCTCCCTGTTTTCATGTGAAGCAGCTTCTTCCCTTTCAGGAATCAGTGCATTTCCTGTGTGTTGACTGAATGCTTCAAGATACCATACGGCTCTATCTCTGCGATACACAGCCAAACACATGCAGCTCAAAAACAGGATTTGTCTCTGCCAGTGCTTTCCAAAGTCAACATTCACTCTGCCTCAAAACTGTGTGTGTGTGTGATAAAGATCAGTTTCAAATGTGATCAGTTTAATGTCCATTTGCCTGCCGACATCATTCTGCCAGACTGGGAAAATGAAGTGGATTAATGTTAAAGCTTGAAGCTTATATTTCATTTCCTCTCTGCGTCCTGACTGAAGCTGCTGCTGGATTTGTTTTGACATCGAGGAGAGGTTCAGACCCTGGATTAAGTCATGCTTACTCCTCCGAACATCCTGAGAACAGGACAGACCCAGGGTCATGAGAATCTCATCCTCAGTAACTGTGCACAGACAGTCTGGCTGCAGGGGCCCCTCTCAGGGGACCCTCAACAAAGAAAGCTCACACAGCGAGAAATAAACACTTACACAATAAATTAAATGAGAAATAAATGTTTAAATTGTATTTGTAGCACTGCCAAGTTTGGGCCTTAAATAAGTCTCCATTCTCGAGACATTTTCCCAGGTTGTGTCTATTCACTGTTATACTCTATCAGTTTGAGAGCAAAGTCACTATACAGAGAATCGTCGTGGCTCTCTGGATCACTTCTATGTACCAATGGGTTCAATTCAAATCAACCCCAAAAACCTTCAAAGCAGCCACATAATTACAGTCTCGGTGTACGGGAACATTTGTGTAAAAGGATGTAGTTTGGACCATGGCCTGACATGGGGTGCTAGCGGCTACAGACAGCTAGCACTGTAAATCAAATCAAATCCAGTTTTATTTATATAGCACATTTTAAAAACTATTTTTGGTCGAGCCAAAGTGCTGTACATGCAATAAAAACTCTTTGATAGCAAACAAGACAATAAATGACAACAGGAAATGTAAAAATCAAACACAGGGAAATGTCAGGAGTCGTACTCCGCTCTGACTAGAAGGCCAGAGAGAAGAAGTGAGTCTTTAGTGTAGATTTAAAAACCTGAACAGCAGGGAAGACTTAGATGACATCACAACTGTTCAATAAAGGCTAACCTATTGTCAGCATTGGCTTATTATAACTGTGTTACACATCTGATGGTGTTGTGAATTGAAACATTAAGAATGTTATTCCCAGATTGAGTTAACATAACAAATGTGTTGATAGAGAAGATCATCAATCGTGGTCCACTCTGCAAAACCCCAGATTACCATCAAATACATTTGTTTAATATTAAAATCAGTGCTTTTAAATTGTTGTTTTCTAAAACTTTGCATGCATGGTTTGGTAGGGAAATGTGGTTATGGCAAATTAATTATTGTTATGGTAAGATTTTGGGAAAAGCAATATGATACACCTGGTGCAAATAAACTGTACCAGCAACAATTAAACTGCTTTATGGGGAGACAATTACAGATTGTAAATATATTGTTTACAGAAAAAAACATTGGCCCTCAATACAGTATGACCAAAATGGATTTCATTTAATGAAAATTGAGCAGAATATAATTTAAAATCAAAATAGATGAACTTTGGCCTATAGTGAGGCTTCTCATGCCCTTACTGTCTATTGTGCTCTCTGTCTCTCTCGGAGGTTGCTCAACATTTGGCAGCTGGTTTCTATTAGGGAAATGCCAGGGAGGGGCGGGGGGGCGGGGGCATGACAGTGGTGGAGATAGTAACTCAGAGCACTTCAGCGCTTTAGCCTTGGGGTACGTCTGATGACACAAACACACACATGTATGAACACAAAGCAGGACCGAGCTCTATAGACAGCCATAACTCATCACCCTCAAACCTGCCTCATCTGTTACAGTTTGTACCCTAACCTTTGTGTACACGATCATCAGCCTTACACATGTGCAGTAGGTACAAAAGTTGTGAAACTAAACATAACATGCACAGTTTAGCAGCCAAAAGGAGATTTAAGCAAATCTGTCTTACATTCGGGAATGTCTGCTGCTGTTCCCCAAGCCTGGCGGCAGATGCTGGATAGGCAATCCCTGATAGGATGCAGAGAAGGCTGAACAGAGATTTAGCAGCCATATTTGTGTATTTGCCCAGTGGAGCACTGTTCCCTCTCTGCCTGTCCCTGTCAGAGTCTTCTGGGCAGCTCCTCTCGCTCTGCTGCACCCGTTGGCTTCACTTTTCCTCTGCTCCGACCTCCAGATACAGTCCCAGCCCGGCCAGTGAAACAAACTTGTGTGGACTTCCTCCCTTTCTCTCCCTCCCTCCCTCCCTCCCTGCCCTGATTCCTCTCTCCTAGCGAACTTGCCTCTCCCCTGAGCCCGTGCCTAAATCACATACAGATGGGAAGCCTGGAAACTGAGAGAAAGAGTGAGAGGGGGAGAGAGAAGAGAAAGAAGGACAGACAGAGGCAACAGAGGGCTTCTGTCTGAGGCAGACAGTGCACCCATCCAAATATCTCACCATTTGCAGGTCTGTGGCACCCTTTCACCTTGGGCTCAACAGGCAGCACCTCTCCCCCCCCCCCCCACAGTGTGGGCAGAGGGTCTAAAGCAAATGGCACTGTTTGTCTGTAGTCAATGCCTTGAACCTCGGCAAAAAAGGCATTAGATGCATTAGAAAGTCAAGGTAAACTTGCGGTTAACTTGCGGTCTGCAATGCGTGTCACGCTCGCGCACACAAGTAAATATATATGCACGTTAATTCTCACAACGCGTCAGACACAAGAAAATATACATTAATTTACATCAGAATCAGAAAGTTTTTATTTTGTATAATTTTTATTTGTTATAATGGGACACAGGGTTTGGTTCGGATTGATTTGCAGTTCGGTCCCGATTCGGACCGTGGTCCGGAGTTTGAGAAGCCCTGGTCTAAAGCTTCAACACTCACTCTGCACCCTGCAGGAAGAAAAGAAGCAGCTGCTCTGATATCCCTGCTCCACCTCGCAGCCCCAGACTTGAGCTTTCTGCTTGTTTTCCAAGGTCAGACCATCAAAAGCTGCTATATTTATCGATATTGTGTGAGGCTCTTAAGTGCCTGCGGGTCACTTCCAGTACAAAGGATGTATTGTCAGAGGCTATTCTCCTATGATCTGAAGCGCTGCTCACTGTAAGGGTCACATGCTGAACCAAATAAGCCAAGTGAAGGTCCAAAAACAGCGGTGACTCAAACACAAAGACCATGTCATAGGCAGCTCCTAATATGTCCCAGTTATGTCGTTCTAGCCCATAGGACCATGTGGAAGTTAAATGTCTCAAGTGACTAATAAACAGTTTGCCACATTCCAGTTATGGTAGTCAGAAATGTCATACACGAGCACAACAAGGCCCCAGGCAGCTCTATATTTACTTTTTAGACAGAGCTAGGGTCATAGTCCAAATTACATGAATTCTCTTCCCCTTTTGCGTAAGGAAATACAGGATTTGAACAACATTTAGGAACATAGGGGTTGCTAAAAACACAGATTGGGCCAAGTAACCATCTACTGTCAGTCAGTCCTGCTGGAAGTCTTATATCTGATCGTACTCTCAGTTGGACTTTCAAAACAAAATCTGTTTAATAGAGCATCACAATATACAGTATTTCTCTAAATGAAAAGGTTATTGTTCAACGCTAACAGATTCAACCTGCTTTAGCCCTGTTTTCTTTTTTCTTATACCCATTCAATACCTGCACAAAGTTAAGTGCTCTGTTGGAAGAAACTAAAGACTAAAGCTGTTATGCACTGCTGGGTTCAATTTCATCCTTTATATAACACTTTCATGCAATGTCAAAGACACAGAGGCGGCACTAACCACCAGAAAGCAGATGTTGGGCTTAGCTGAGCCACGATGTGTTTACTTCCCCAGCTCACTGAGACGGAGAGCACTTTTCCTTCTCCATGTTTGGCCAAGTGCACATTGGTATTCTCAGCAAAGACCTGGTGTAACACCAGAGATCACTCACAGCCAGGCTACTAGTCAGTGATCTAGAGGTTTCATAGCAGCGGCACTGTATTCCTGACTCTTCTGCTAAGGAATGGTTTGTCCGGTCTTCTTTGTAAACATATTCATGCATGTGATCTGAAGCTCTGTCAGCTGAGCGATACAGCAGTGTGAACATCACAAGATCATACTTCATGTTGCACAACAAGGCTTTGCCACCACTACAGTGGTAGTAGTAGTTTTGTAGTTTGGGTCGTTTCTAAAGGATATAATATTATCGCACATGGAAACATATCGCTAAAAATAAGAGATTTCAACTGTGTGGAATAAAAACAAGTAGCAAACATCCATCACAGCTTACAGTCCAACTTCCTGAAAATCTAACTCATTAATCTTACTTTTTCTCCCAACATGAAAATTGAGTAATAACATATTAAATGTTGAAAAGCCCCTCACTACTCACGCCGTTTACACGAGGAGAAAACTGCTTGTATCTGCATAGTTTCGCGTGCGTATAGCCCTATTATTTACACGAGGCCGATAGAAACTGACCCCACAAACGATAACGGGTCCCAAGGTGGATAGATTTGCAAACGAAACGCTCTGGGGGGTCAACCGAGTCCGTGTAATCACCTCTATACGAATATTTCCTGAAAAAATAACGATAGCCCCACCTTTCCCCACCTCTCCTGCTCACTGCTGTAGCATGGCTGTGTTAATTAAACGCACAAGGGGTTCTTGAATGAAATAATATTATAAAAGGCAAACCAGAATTGTTAACGCCCAATATACTCCTTAAACAAAATAAACAGAGTCAGATTTCATGCATTGATCCATTATATTGACAAAGGAGGATCTCACCCGGTGTTTGTAGAGAATATCTCTCTGAGCGAGTCCTCTCCACGGAGACATGCTCCTCCTCCTGTCAGTAGCTACTGCTAGTGCTACTGCTACTGACCATGCTACAGATATTAGTGCAAAAATATACAGCTCCTCTACCACAACCATCAGCAACAAGTGGACATGGAGAATTACATGAACTACATGTTGCTAAATCCACGGCGGGGCGTAAACAGAAGGGTAGCCATGGCAACATTGCTGCGGGGCTGCTGCGGAGTCTTCTTCACTGCTTTTGGTGTATTTTGTGGCGGAAGTTACAGCGCCACTTACAGTCCCGGCATATGTACTACAGCGTTTCCAGCGGTCTCGTTTGAACAGACACGTTAAATGAAACGAATGCATGTGAACGGAAGACTTTTTTGAATATGCATACTGTGCATAAACGCAAACGTTCCCGTGTGAGCGGGGCCTCAGGCTGCAGCTTGTGTTGAGCGGGGATCAGAGCGGGGGGGGGGTCAGAGAGCAGAGTCCAGGTGTCTCCTTACACTCTCCACACATGCCAGAGAAAACTATAACCTCTATCACAACAAACACCTCCTCACTGTTATATCTGGGAATACAATGATGTTGCTTTGCAACAGGAACACAGAACATGAACACCCAGCATGACAGGTCAGCCAGAGATAGTGAGATACTACATCTCAAGGGGGCACCCTTCCAACTAATTCAAACTGAGGCTACATTAAAACGGTTCATCTACATATAGTGTACAACGCAAGGTCAGTTTATTTATAAAGCACATTTAAACAACAAGACCATTTAAAGTGCTTCACAAAAAAATAAAAAGCATTAAGACATAGTGCAAAACAAACACATTATACAACTCAATTTAATTACATTTAATATTCAAAGAGAATACAAATTAAAGAACTTAAATAGAAAGTTACAGTGCATTGTAAGATGTGAACAGTTATTGGATGTATTAAAAGGAAGCGGCAGAAAATATATACATTTGTTTGGTAGATTTTTGCAGATATGTGAAGCATTAAAATTGAATGCTACTTTTCCAAGTTTAGTTTTTAATTATTGGGACAGAGATCAGACCTGGATGGTCATAATGTAGAAGGAGATCAGAAATGTATTTTGTCCCTGAACCATCCAGTGCTTTATAAAACAGCAACAAGCATGTATTGTAGGGATGTGCATCTCCATCACTGAGGCCGATGCGATGCGCATCTCGATACGTTGCCAACGATACGATACATTAACGATACATTTGAAGCACCGGGCGATGCGATACGATACGATTCACCCCTGTTGCGATACAGTTCGATACGATTTGATTCAACATGATGCGATTCGGGGCGATACGATTCAACACAATGCAAAATAATGATACAATTCTATATGGTATGACAGAGGATTTTGTTTTATTTCTTATATGCAGCAAATCATAAATTAACAAAAAAGTGCTTCACATATAAAAATGAAAGCGGCACGGCATCGTTTACAATTTGCTTGCGGTTTGTGAAGTTGTCCGTCTTTCTTGAAAAATCTGAAGTGTTGCCAAACGTTTGATTTGTAGGTATTTTTCGGTGCGCTGTGTTTCTCTTTCTCCTCGACTTCCATGTTTGTTGATAACTGTGACGCGGCTCCTCCGTAGTGGCGAAGCAAAGATCAAAGATCGTCTCTGTTGAGTGCTGACAGGATGAGAGGATATTATATGAATGAATCGTTTTTTTACCGATGCAAAGACGCTACAATAGATGCATCGCGAGTTCAACCCAAACTGCGCACTCTTTCAACCGGTGCACTCGCATTTTGAACGTTTATGCCGGTGCACCGATGCGAATCGGTGAATCTTAACATCCCTAATGTACTGTAGACGTTAAAGAGAAGAGGCCCCAGGATGGAGCCTTGAGGAACTCTGCATATTTGTCTGCTCAGATATGTAATTCCCTATTGATACAAAGTTGTCCCTTGCCTTTTAGTTGGATTCAAACCAATATAGCACTGGATTTCATATCAATGTAGTGGATCAAAAGGTTTAAGTTTTACCGTCTGTTCTGATTGCATCACCAAAATGTTGGGGGGGAAAGCCTGCGGTTAGCCTCTAATGTTTGTTGTTGTTTCCACATGTTTCCAATTGTACAAATGGCCATTAGTGCTGCACTCTGTTGTACACCCAAAAGTAAATAAAGTAGTTTGTAGAAAACAAGGCGTAAAAGTCGGTTTCAAAATGTTTCAAAAGCTTTCAGAAGAGGTAAGAAAAGGTAAAAGGTGACAGCTAAAAAGGTAATGTCAGATGATGTGATAACTACTTTTTCCCTTACTGATGCCTTTACACAGTACAACATCTGAACTTATTGATGACTTAAACTTAAAGTAAAAAATACAGGTGTAATAATTAATGGTCTAAGTATAGGCGACAAGTTTGCAAGTTATTCAAAGAGATCT